GTGCGTGGTGCATTCAGGGTCCACCCGCAGCTCATCACTCTGTACGGGGAGGAGGTGGACGAGGCTGAGTCGACCGTCTCCTGTAGCTGCCTCTGAGTCCAGCGGAGGGCGCTGCTGCGTCTGTGTGTTGGGACCAAGACAAGTTGCCATAGTAACCACAATGACTCAACAGTGCCCTCTCTAGGTCATGAAATAATGTAGACGTTTCATTCTAAGTAGCAAAAACACGTAAAAGTAGCAACCGAGCTTTGCAGCTTCCTGTTTATGATGTACGTTAAAGCTACATTAATTGATAAATGTTTTGGCCGTGTGATTGATTACTGCAGCTTTAATAACCCATATGGTAGCTTGTAAGCTTCCTTTAACTCCAAACTACCTGTGCTTTATGATATAAATGTATAATGATAAAAATGAATGTTTTATATTCAAATTAATGTTTACAATTTACTATATTTTAATCGCCAGCTCTTCTCAGATGACATGACTTAATCTAATTTGTGTTGCCTATTTTTATTACAATTTTCATTTTGTTTGTTTTGTCTCTGGTTCTGTGGCTGAGAGCAAAGATTCATCTGTATTTAGTCTGTGATTTCAAAGTAAATACATGAGATTAAAAAAAGTAAATTGAATCCAACACTGTGAGGAAAAGGAGAACAAACGTAGTGAAGTTTCTTTTCTACTGTTATATTATACTTTCTACTGATTATTGTTTGGAGAAGAGCAGTTTTTAACACAAGCAGAACCAGACTGGATGAGCCCAATGTGTCCAAAGACTGTAAAAGTTTTATATTTAAATATAACAGAGCTTTACTTAATGGCTGTTTTCATTTAGAAGCTCTTTCAGCTTTTTTATTAAGCTAATGCAGATTTTTAGAGTGACGCTGTGATCTCGATGAGAAAAAAACAAGTGCAAGTTGTTGTTAAAATAGAAAATACGTCATTTTAATGGAAATGTGTTGATAAAAGCAGTGAGACACTCCAGTGCAGAACAACTTCACATGAACAACAACAATAACAAACTAATTTAATAAAATATTAAACATGTCTCTGTGTGATGTGCATTTGTACTAAATACATAAACAGAAGGGAGGGCGGCAGCTGTTTTAAATGTTTGCATTCACAAAATACAGACAGGTAAAACAGTGCTTTTGAATATTTTAAATACCTTACACATATTTTTAAATGCTAATTTTCAAGTAGTCTTCCATCACTCAACCCTGTGTTGTTGGTGGCTGTTACCCAACAAGATGCATATTTTACTGAGCTTTCACACTGATAGTTTAGTCCAAATCTAGGAGCCGTTCAATTTGGTGACACTGAAGATTTGACCGAGAAGCTATTCCTTAACCAGGTGGTCTGAGATCAGTTCCAGTGAACAGTGCATTCAGTTTTCTGATTCTTATTTAATTTGTCATGTACAGCATCTTTGAGTGAAAAGCACTCTATAAATTAAACGGATTGTTATTGTAGAACATTCTTGTGGACATGAAGAAGTAGATAAAAAAAAACAGCAAAATAAACATGTCACATGATATTTGTTCCAAAGAGGATAGTTGAAGACAAGCGCTGATTTTGCAAATGGTTTCTCGTTTTCTGCTACATTCCTTTTAATTGTTTCCTCACAGTGGTTAACAGCTGCACAGCGACTTCACATGCAGACAACGGATAGAAAAGCAGTGAACAAATGTGAAATGAGACGAGTTAAGGCCCAGTATGTTTCCAGAAGCTTGGTGACATAGTGGGTGTTTTCCATTCTGGTAATTATGTTTCCTCCAGCCCGTGTCCTGGAAATGGATCGAGCTCTGCCATTACTGGGGATGTTCCAATCCCTTAAATGCATCTCAGAGGAGATGAGGGGCGAGAGAGGAACCACAGGTGTGTCCTATGTGGACATATTTTAAAGGACAGCAATGCCCCTTTAACATGAATCAGTTTATTGATTGGTCTGGGCTGTTGTGTAAACAGCATTATAATAATATTAATATAATTGCATGATTTGTACTGTAGATTTGTGGAAACGGCAGTAGCAGCACTAACAGTGGCTCTGTTATTCAGAATCTGAATCATGAAAACTTTTTTTCTCCATCTGCTGAAAGACTTTTCTTCTCTTCCTATTTCATTTACTCTTCTAGACTATATCGTCACTCAGTAAGGAAAAATATAAAGCTATAGACATATTTAGTTAGACTTATTAGTCCTATACTATCATCCTGAGGCTGACAAGATGTCTGGTCTTTTACAAACTATAGATTCAGAGCTATAGGTTTACTTCAGGACATTTATAGCTGTTTTTATTGCTTCCTCACATCCGCTCTGCTCTTTCAGTAATGAACAAAGTTTTCAGCATGTGTGTGTTGTTACTTTTTTCCCCCTGGCCGACTGCTGCCCGTAGGAGCTGCCACAGCAGATTATCTGTTTCAATCTCGCAGGCACACTGGCCCCGCCCAGCCCGCCATGGAGATCTGATGATCGCATGTTTGATTTGGCTTAGGCTTTTTACACCGTGAGGGAAGGGAGGAGTGACGTTATCAGAATAGAAACCACCCAGTGACTACTCACAGAGCTAGCTGGTGGATAATTGTAGCTGGTGAGAAAACCACTAACAAACAACCGGAAACATGCTAACACTTATACTCTGACAGAGGAGGTTAAATAAACATGGACAGTGCAACACAGCTAATAAACTACAATAATTTCCTCCATTTCGACTCCAGCTCTCCGTTCCCCGAAGGCCATGAAACTCCACTGTACATGCTGATGTGAGTGGGCCTTTAGAGGGACAAAACTCAAAGTCCCAGAGTGAAAACGGGCTAAAGGACATTCGGCATCCATTCAAACACCCACGCTGGTTGCTGCCAGCATCAGTCTGCATCCGCCCACAGAAGAAAGCAACTTCATTACTTCACTCGCTGTACCGGCACATCCCAGCAGCCGTCGCTGGACTGTTCGGTCTGGACAGCAGCCGGTGTGTGTTACAGGCATCAAATGGTGCAACACAGGCAGCGAGTCACCTTTGTGTGTGTGTGTGTGTGTGTCACCAGTGCATAAAGTGTTGGACAGCAGGTAAACAAAAGTGTAGAAAGAGAATGTACACAGACAGCGAGTTAGGAACCAATGAGAGGCCAGGTTTCCATCCCCTGAGATCGAAGGTCATCAGAACTTCCTTTGGTTTGTTTTCTCTTGAATGAAGGTCATCAACAGGTGGCGCCACATCCCAGGAAGCCCCGAGGCCTTCAAATTGGTCCAGATTTGATTGTTTCAGGTCCACTTCCCTTTTTATTAATCCTCCATCCATCTATCGCTGCAGTCTTTTTCAAGTCTTTGAACTTGTCTGTATTTGTGAAGGCACATCAGGCAAAATAGTTTAAAAAAAGGCACAGATTCAGGTGTGTTCAGTTCAGGAGGCGTTCACGTTTTAGCATCCGTCACACTCAAAGACAGGTCTGTGCTGAAACCGGCTGGGCTGACTGCACTGATTTCATTGGCCGATGACGTTCAACAGCAGTAGCAGTGCTTTCTACTGTTTTGGACAAACTGGGTTGCCGTATTGTCAAACACAGCAATCCATCCATCAGCACATATGTCTCATTAAAACTGTTGCACAGTCACAATGTGAACGCCATCCTATGGTCAGAGGTCCGAGGTCGTGGCCAGAGGTGGGGTTAGGAAGTGCTCTCTCTTTTATCGTGTTTAGGAACATAGTTCCAGCTGTCTCTCCTGAACTCCTCTTCCTCATTCTTCTGGAAGTTCCTCTTAAAGAAACCAGCCTGAGAGACACACGGATAGACAGAGACAGACATGAAGTTAAAAAATGTAACTGTGTTTCTACTACAACCATCGTATTGTGATGTACTCTGCTTAATCAGTAGATTGTATTGTGATGTACTGCAGTTTAGCATTATATCATGATACGCTGACCATTATGTTGAATGTATGTTCAATACAATTATATTGCAATATACCTGTGGTGTATCAGCACAATTATTTTGTGACATGCTGTAGTTTATCAGGACAGTATATTGAAATATACTACAGTTCATCAGTACCATTATATTAAAATATACTGTAGTTTTTGGTACGTTATATTGCAATATACTGTGGTTTATCTGTACGTTATATTGCAATATACTGTGGTTTATCTGTACGTTATATTGCAATATACTGCAGTTGTGAGTACAGTACAGAAGAAGTGAGACAGGTTTAATGGCAGTGTGACACATAATATTGTTTACAAGCAAAGCTAATTTGCTCAGATTTATTTGTTAACTAACAAGAAATGGCCGAACAGAAATTCCACAACTTTAAGGTGCAGCAATTTAGAAAAAGTGTCTCAATTGTGGGTCCAACAGAAAGCACTTACAAGTTTACTTTTCAATCATTAAATATCATGAAATAAAATATATTTATTGAGTGTAGGTGCTTCTGTTAAAAACGAATATTTACCTTCCACAGACACCAGATGAGAGCTGCCAGGATCATCAAACCCAGAACTAAACTGACAACGATGATGAAGACCTTCACTATTGCTGAGGGTTTCTGGGTAAAAAGAGCTTCCACCACCACCTGGAAATGTATGATTATTAGTAACATCTGGAATACAATTACAGTCCCATAAGGCTTAGATGGTACACTTGTGTGAGCTGTAGCTGTTGCTCAATTACTATTGTCTGAACGGTATATATATATATATATATATATATACAGTGTGGGCGTGCTCTTTGTGATCCAAATCAGATAAAAGCGTAAACACATAGATGACCTAATTCCAGATGCGGTCTAGTTTGACGCGCTCTACAGTGCTGTTAGCTCTCGGTTTTGACTGGTGTCGAGGTGTTTTACCTGTGCTTCAGGTTTGTAGATGAGGGTGGTGTGAGGACCTTCTCTGGGATTTGACATCATTGCCGTGCTCTCTATCCTCATGACACCATGACGACCCTGAGAAAGAGACGCAGGCAGACATGAGTTTTCATCTGTTTCTTTAAAAGTGAGAGAGGACAAGTACATACACAACCATTGTAGTTACACGTAAAACTGGAAGAAAATAGACTGTGTGTGTGTGTGTGTGTGTGTGTGTTACCGGAGCTTGCAGTAGTACAGCAGGGTTCAGTTTGATCTCCAGTTGAACAATGACCTCTCTCCCCACTTCCAGGTTACCGAATTGACACACCAACCGCTCACACAGCTCATCACCATGGCCACAAAACTGTAGACACGCACAGAAAAAGATTGAAGTTCATCCACAGTAGGTCAGTGTGTGGTCAGCGTGTTCACTCCAGCTCAAGCATCTCAATTGTTCGGTCACAAATTATTAGCCAGGCATGTGATACACGAAAAAAAGGGAAGAAGGTTTTAAAAACAACTCTGTTTGGTATATCAAGAAGCATTATTATAACTATAATTAATAGCACTGATTACAATGATTCCTAAGAAAGACAAGGACCACACTGAACCAGGGAGTTTTAGACCTGTTCATACAGATCAG